CATGCTTCCAGGACCTAACTCGTAAATTTGAGCCCACCTGCAGCCCCAGCATTCCTCTTTTTTCCTCCAATGTGCAGGACTTAGGTGTGCTCCTCTACCTGGCTGGTCTAAAGAGCTGGCTGTCCATCTGTGCATGTGGGTTTCAGCTTGCTGCAGTCCCTAATGTACTGGCTAAATGACCCATAATCCAGGGAGCCTCACTGCTGGTTCTTTTATCACAGCTTACAGCCCTGTCTTGGGCCCGCTGGGTCCATGTGAAGTGGGCAGAAGTGTCAGCAGAATCTCCCATAGGTTTGCGTGTGCACACACACACAGCCAGTGTTTACAGTCGGATGATAGAGGTTGGGTGTGCTCTTTTTTGTGGCTTCTCATATTTGCTTTACTATTGTGCCATCATGCCAACCCCCTCAAAGGACCAGCTTTTCCAGAGAGGGTAGAGGAGTCACCTGTGGATGACTAATGTAGCCAGCATTGCCTGTTGGAATATAGGACATCCTTTTATATTTTGTTTGTGGTGTCCAGAAGGTTTTTATGAGGTCAACAATTCCCTTGGATGGTTTGTGTACATTGCAGAATATTATGCAGAAAGCTCTGTTGCGGATTCCTACCTTTTTGTAGCTATTCTTAACAAAACATTTTCATCACCTGCTCTCTGGCAAGACAAAGTTTGATTCTTTAACCACCTGGTGAAATCTGGCTGTGGTAGGAAGCTGCAGTATCAACCTCCAGCTAGCAGTTGTTAACCCTTTGGGGTTTGTTACTTAGCAAGCTATTTTCTACTTTATATTATTATTATTATTATTATTATTATTATTTTAGATGATTTGTTAAGTGGCAGGCAAAACCCTGTGAAATGATTATCTAGTCTGGCAATGAGCAGTCTCAGAGCTTCCACAAGCTAGGCAAACCTCTTCAGACTTTTCAAAAAAGAAGATGCAGATGAACATGACTGTGCGATGAACATGAATGTGTTTCACTCAGCTTGTAAAGGGGTTATATGTTCTGGCAATGAGAAGTCTAATAGCCTTCCCAGGTAAAACAGCCCCTTCAGACATTCCAAAGGGAAAGAGAAGGGTGTCACGGATCGCAAGATCGCGGCCACCAACATGCGACGATCCCATGATTGCGACGTCTATTATGTCCCGATCACGGCGTCAGATCCCAGACCTCACCAAAACCCGTGACCGAAGGGCTAGCCGACCTAAAACCACGATGTGACGTGCATAACAATGCCACACCCAGCTGCACCCTGCACAACGATTTTCCAGCTAATGGATACAGATCGATGTGCCAGCAGCCTGAATCGATTGTTACTGGGTCAGGTTAACTACGCAGTTAACCCTTCACACTGCCACCACCTCCTTTTTATTCAGAGAAAGAGGAAACTCTTTCAGCTATAACACTATATAATGGTTGATATAATCGACTGCATAACCCGGTCATAATACAGGCCTGTTATACAGAGGGTTAAAACAAGCAGTAGCGTCTCTTCAAAGGCAGGGATTCGTAAATTGCAATTAAGAGCTATAGAAACGGTTCAACACTTTCAGAAAAAGAGGTTTATTACTAAAAGGGTCAAACAGGTGCAATAAAAATATTTACAGAGAAGATGTAACTAAGATATATATATATATATATATATATATATATATATATATATACATGTACAGAAAACAACACAGCACAGCAAAGAGATAACAGGGAGAAGTTAAAGGGTTAAGTTACTTGCCCTTAAGCCTTGGATGTAAGCAGATCATGTTTCAGAGCGAAAGACACAGGTCTCTCCAGGTGGTATATTGATGTTAAAAATGGGAGATGTCTTCAAAACTTAACTCTCTTAGGCTTGGCAGCCTGCTTTAAAGTTTCCCAGCAGGGGGTGGTTCTGAAGTAAAAGACCAATCCCCAGTTTAGGGAGGAATCGTCAGGCGGAGCCCTAAACTGGAGCCAACATCTTTCCTAACTCATATTCTTGTCCATAACCTTCCATCTGCACCAGAGACCTCCCACCCGTGGGTAGATTATTATGCAGGCAATTCTGAGGATTGACCAGATATGAATTATAAAGTTGTATGCTACACGGTTTGCGAGATCTATTTCTCTGCTTTTCCGTGCGCCCGAAATTAGGCGAGTGACCCATCAAAGTGTTTGCCTGCTCATCGTCCATCCAATGATATGTCCGGCTTTTATGTATGCCTCTCATATTCCAAGATATGAGACGTAGGGGAAAAATGGATCTTTTAAAAATGTTAGCTGATGTGGGCTTCTTGGGAATGCCTTGAACTTCTGGGAAGGCTCTGTTATCTTTTTACGAGGTGTGAAATTACACAGCTTCTTTGGGCAGTGGGGCACCACTTAGCTCCCTGCTGGGATCTGGCCTGTGACACTTTTAACACACACACATCTGTCACTGTGCCTCTCAGGAAGGGAGGGGGAAGGAGAATGAGGGAATAACATGGCTACTCTTAACAAAATGGCAGACTGCATCAGTCTCTGGCACGCACATTTGCAACAACGGGGTGAACATGACTTTTGCTTTGTTCAAGCAATCAGAAATGAGATGATGACACCTAACAGGATGTCACATTCAATAAACTCATTGTCAATAAAATCTAAAGGAGTGGTTTCCACTTACCCTTTGAAAGGGTTATCTGCTTTTGCAATGAGAAGTGGCTTAGCCTTCCCAGATGAAACAGCCCTCTTCATAGTTTCCAAAGAGGATGATGCGGTAGGACATAACTGCATGAATACTGCTTTGTTCAAGCAAGCAAGGATAAAGATGATGATACCTAACAGGTTGTCACATGATGCTAAAACACTCTAAAGGAATGTTTCCACTCACACTGTGAAAGTATTATCTGTTCTATCAATGAACAGGTTCATAGCCTTCCAGGCAAACAATCCTCCTCAGAATCTTCCAAAAGAAGATTCAGGTGAGCATGACTATATGAGTCCTGCTGGTTCAAGCAACCAGGGATAAAGAAGTTTACCCCTAACAATTTAATCACATTCATTGACCATGTGGCCAATACATTCTGAATGAGTTGCTTCAACTCACCTTGTGAAGTGGTCATACATTCTGACAGTCAGCAGTCTCAGAACCTTCTCAAGACAAATCACCCCTTGCCAGATTTGTCCAAAGAACATGTGGAGAAATTCCAAACACAATGGGAGGGAGTAATAAAATTAAGATATAACTATGACACCCAAAGGGTTAAATATGGAATTTGATATTATTTGTTTTATCAATAACTCCTATTGGTTTAAACCATACATGTACAGTATAATTGGGTCTACTGAATTTTAGATACATCCTAGAATTCATTATATATCACATTTTTATTATTTATGTATCTCCATGTAAGATTATTGTATTATACTGTTATTTAGTTTATTCAGTTAAGCAATATTAGTCAGGTATATTTAACATTCTGACCACAAGCAATATGCAATAAATTGGTGTTTGTAAGTATATACTGTGTATATATATATATATATATATATATATATATATATATATATATATATATATATATACATTAATTTTGTAATCCTACCACTAGATGGAGCATTTTATAATATCTTTTTCCTTGTCTAATATTTTGATATTGTAATATTGTAATATTCTTTATTTTTATTAATTTAATTTTACTTTGTATCTTAATACGGGATGTGGCTTAATATGAAGTTTATTGTAAAATGTTTAAGAAGATTTGGGGGAAGATTCTGTTCCGGTTTCCTTAATGAAACATATCAGATGCCGCTATTTATACAGACACTTGCATACCAGCCACATACTACTGGGGAAGTCACATATCTGTGATGATACGCGTGTAGGTGGAGCCGGGCGGCAGGGACCTTGGGACTGGAAGTGATGCAAAAGCGCTGGGTCTGCGACTCACTCACTGTCATACGAATTGTCTTTTAACAGTTTGTAAGTGCATTTTTTTATTCAATAAATTAGATTTTTTTTTATATATACTACACTATGGGGGGCCCCTCTTTTGTGTGTGTCTTTACTGTAGACCAGAGATTGGTAACTTAAAGGGCCAGTCACATACACCACAGAAGGATCCATTTCAACCATTAAGAATGAGCCATGAGATGGGGAGAGAGACCATACATGAGAGATTGCCTTTAGGATTCCAATTATAAGGAAATAAGCACTTTGACCTGTAAGAGGGCAGGTCGCAGAGTGGAGGTAAGTGCAGAGTTGCATGGTGAAGGATTACACACGTATACATGAGTTTGAAAGAGCACACAGACTTTATTAGGAATATATAATTATTGCATGTATTTATGTACGTTTTTTCTTACGTGATATGCACTATATTAGGAGCTGTATGTGTCATATTGTGATTTACCATATTTGTAGCTCTATAAGACGCACTTTTTTCCCCCCAAAAAATGGGGGGGAAAATTTCTGTGCATCTTATGGAGCGAACATGGAGCAGCCGGACCGATATTCCCGCTGCCACCGCCATGTTAGAATACCGGGCCGGCCTCTCAGCACTACTATGCAGAAGAACCTGATCCTCGGTCCAGCGGTTTCCTGCTCCATCGGCCGTCTTCTCCCCCTGGTGCTGGTATCTTCAGTGTGGGCGCCTGGCTGTGACAGCTTGCAGCTTCACAGCCGTGTGACCACTGCGCATGCGCGAGAATCGCTGCACATTGTGAATGGCCCCGTAGTCTTGTGGGACCTGTCACGTGTTCCACAAGACTATGGGGAGGGAGGGGGTGAGGGCAACTCCACGGAAATGGGAGCAGGTACCTGTGAAATTTGGGTTTCGTCAGGGGCGGACTGACAACTCATGGGGCCCCCGGGCAATAGGGGATCATGGGGCCCCTGTGTCCTTGCCCAAACTCAAAAAAGCCTATGAAAAAGGTACCAGGGGCATCTCATGGGGGCCCCTACTGACTCCGGGCCCTCGGGCAGTGCCCGAGTTTCCAAATGGTCAGTCCGCCCCTGGGTATCGTGTACCCTGCCCCCCCCCTCCCCAAAGGTCTGCAGTCCACAGTCTCTGGTCATCTCCTGTAGTAGGTCCGCAGTCTCTGGTCATCTACTGTACTATGTCCGCAGTCTCTGGTCATCTACTGTACTATGTCCGCAGTCTCTGGTCATCTCCTGTACTATGTCCGCAGTCTCTGGTCATTTCCTGTACCATGTCTGCAGTCTATTGGCTCAGAATTTTTTTTCTTTGTTTCCCTCCTCTAAAATCTAGGTGCGTCTTATGGTCAGGTGCGTCTTAAGGAGCGAAAAATACGGCACTATAAGTGACTCCCTTTACTGCGCTTTAGTGCCTCTACAAGATCATACATCCCACCGGTGAGTTCAGACTGCAGCCAGCAGTTCTGCCAGCTTACCATAGAGCTGATTGAGGCCCGTAATGTCCCCAATCATCTCTGTAGTATTAGAAATCAGAAGAGACAAGTATTTCATCACTTCCAGTTTCTTCAGGATGTAAACTTGCAAAAAGTATCTGATCAAACTGATCTTGGTTTGATCAGATGCTTTTAGGGCAGAAGAGAGATCTGGAGTCTAATAGACCCCAGATGTCTCAGTACTGAGGACCTGTCACTGCCTATTGCCATTGCAAGGGATATGTACATTCCTTGTTAGAGCAATAAAAGTTTTAAAAAATTAAAGAGACAATGCAAAAAAATAACAATAAATAAATAAATAATAACAAAACATTTTTAATGCACCCTTGGTCCACCGTGCTTGCTTCGTTTGCAAAGATGACCGCATATTTTGGTTGCGCACGCACATAAAACGGTGTTTGCATACTTCGGCAAGGTCTTGTTGCAAGTGTTATAGAGAAAGAAATAATTTGAGCACAGACATCCAGTATAACTCTAAACTTATAGGCTGTAAAAGCTTTTAAAGCTTCACCTATGGAGATTTTTAAGTACTGTAGTTTGTCGCCATTCCACACGTGTATGCAAATTTAAAGCATGACATGTTAGGTATATATTTACCTGGTGTAACTTCTTCTGATATTATTTGCCAAACAATTGTGTATTATATTGTGGTCTTGTGCATTAAAATTCATTAAAGGCTATTTTTTCTAAAAAATATTGCATTTCAAAAACCGCTGCACAAATACCGGGTGACATGAAAAAATTGCAACACACTATTTTATTCTGTAGGGTCTCTTCTCACATAAATGTATAATTTTTTTTTTTTTGGGGGGGGGGGGGGGTATAAGTAATTTTCCAGAAAAATATGCAGATTTTTAAATGTAAACAAAAAGTGTCAGAAGAGGCCTGGTCCTAACTGCTTTCCCGCCTCTCTATAGCAGATATACATTGCGACAGGGGTGCACAAAATCACGTATATATACTGTATGTGATTTTGCATTTCCGGATAGGGGCGCGCTCCCTACCCGTGCCGCCATTCGCGGCCACGGCTGACAATCACCGGATCCTGGCCGGTGATTACCTGCCGGCGCCCGGTGATTTCCCAGCATCTCCGATGGGGAGGAGGACTGTTTTGTTTGCTAACAGTTCTCCTCCCTGTCAACTTGGGCACAATGCTCTGGATCCAGAGCAGTGTGATTACAGTGAAGCACACAGACACCACCCCATTGTAAAACACTCCCAGTACACAAGTACACAGTTAACCCTTTGACCGCCCCTCATGTTAACCCCTTCCTGCCCAGTGCCATTAGTACAGTGTCAGTGGTTTGTTTTTGTTTTTGTTTTTTTCGCACTGATCACTGTATTGGTGTCACTGGGGAAGTCAGTGACACTAACTCAGTTCCCCCCAGTGTTAGAATGTCCGCCGCAGTCCCGCTATAAGTCGCTGATCGTCACCATTATTAGTAGAATAAAATCCAGTATCTATACCACCATTTTTAAATGCTATAACTTTCACGTAAACCAATTAATTTACACGCATTGAGATTTTTTTTTAGCAAAAACATGGAGCAGAATACATTTTGTTATACATTTATGACAAAATTAGATTTTTTTTAATTTTTTTTTACTGGACATCTTTAATAGCAAAAAGTAAAAAATATAGTTTTTTTTTTCTCAAAATTGTCGGTCTTTTTTTATTTTGTAAAAAATGTACAGGCAATCAAATGCCACAGAAAGAAAGCTCAATTTGTGGAAAAAAAGGATGTAAATTTCATTTGGGTACAGCGTTGCATGACTGCTCAGTTGTCAGTTAAAGTAATGCAGCGCCGTAGCGCAAGAAATGGCCTAGTCAGGAAGGGGGGTAAATACACAGAAGGGCAAGTGGCTAAAGGGACTGTGATTTAAATCACCATCATATGATTAAAAAAAATAAGCTTAAATTATCTAAATGCAGAAATGACAGTTTAAAGGATGATTGGTACATGATGAAAAAACTTGAATTTAGACATGCAATTCATTGTGTTACAAATTCGAATTTGGACAACATTTTTGTGATTTCGGAGATGTATATGTATCTGAATTTCCAATTCACAATAGTAATGAATTTCAACAAATCCAAAATAAGTTATAATGCAACAACAAATACATTTGTATTTATGCGTTTCATTTGGATGACATGGTGCGATAGTTTGGGCCTTTTGTTGATGTTTGAAGCATCCATAACAACATAACGACATAATGAATGATCCAAATTGATTCAGATCCATTTGTTTTTATTCTAGTGTGCATAGCATGACTATTCTAATAATCATCAGATTCTTTTTGTATTAACATTTTTCGTTATTAACCACTTGCCTACCTGGCACTTTCACCCCCTTCCTGCCCAGGCCAATTTTTAGCTTTCATCGCTGTCGCAATTTGAATGACAATTGCGTGTTCATGCAACACTGTACCCATATGAAATTTTTATCATTTTTTTTGAGACAGATAGAGCTTTCCTTTGGTGATTTTTAATCACCACTAGGTTTTTTATTTTTTGATAAACAAACCAAAAACAACTGAATTTTTTTTATAAAAAGTTTTTCTTAGTTTCTGTTATAAAATTTTGTAAACGAGTCATTTTTCTACTTCACTGATGTGCGCTAATGAGGCTGCAGTGATGGGCACTGATAGGCTGCACTGATAGGCAGCACTGATGGGCATTGACAGACATCACTGATGGGCACTGAAAGGCAGTACTCATATATGGTGCTGATAGGCGGCACTGACAGGCACTAATAGGCGGCACTGATTGGCAGCACTAATAGGCGGCACTGACTGGCACTGATAGTTGGCCATGAAAGGCAGCTCAAATGGGCAATGATATGTGGTATTGATATGTACCGGTAGGCACTGATATGTGGCATTGATATGCACTGATGGGCAATGACAGGTGGCATTGATGGGTACTGACAGGTAGCACTGATGGGGCTACACTGATCATCAGAGCACTGATCATCAGTGCCCTGATGATCAGTGTAGATGTCCCCTCTGAGGAATGCCGATAACCGTCATTTTCTCATTTACATGAGATCAACTGTGATTGGACACAGCTGATCACATGACAGAACCAAAGTCATCAGCTCTTTCTGCTTATTGGTGATCCACTGTATCCCAGGGACACAGTACACCACCGATTGCTGCACATGCGCAGTTAGAGTGGGATGACGTCATATGACATCCTCCCAGAACGAGAGAACCACCTTGCACCCATCATTTCCTTATATGGCAGGCGGGAGGCGGTTAAAAAAATGCACTACATATGAAATGGAAACATATTGCAATAAATACAGTAAGGTTTAAAAGTGAAATAAGATGATTTCTACTGATTGTGTTTGGGTTGGGTGGAGGTGGATCCATAAGAATCTCTGAATCATAACATAGCGAATGAATCCGAAATTGATTTAGTTTCATTTGTTACTTTCAGATGCACGCAACATCGAATATGTACTCTCCCGAAATAACGAAAACATTTTTAAACAAAATTATTCTAACATAATAAATATGACAAAATGAAACAATTTACTTAACAAATAAAAAAGAAACATAATGAAACAAATGTTTCTGTCTCTAGTTGAATTTTAAGGGAGTGTGGCTTAACACAAACCAAAAAATGTTAAGCAGGCATAGGAATCTGAGTAGATGCCTAGAATCACTTCCAGGATGCAAGAGAAATGGCAACATGCTCTGTACATGCAGAGATAGTCACAGATACTGGAAATTACAGCATACCAGAATGCCACAAACAGCAAATCAGCATACAAAAGAAGTGCTACTATGCAGCATAGGAAGTATGAACAGACATGAGAATTAACCCAGATTATATCACAAAAGAACTCTGCAAGGTTAATACATGCAAACTGGAAACAGATACTGAGAATTTCACCCAGTGTACAGAACAAAAGAAGCGGCACAGTGCAGCATCAATACATATGGAATAAGAACAGATGCTGAGAATTACATAGTGTACTGAACAAAAGAATTGGTACTGTGTAGCATGATGCATCCATACATACAGAGTAAGAACGGATATTGAGAATTACACCCAGCATACAGGACAAGAGAAGTGCTACTGTTACATACAGAATAAGAACAAATACTCTGTCTTACATACAGTGTAAAGAACAATAGATGTGCTTCAGGGCTGTATCCATACTTACAGAAGAAAAGGCATGAAAGTTACATCCAGTGTACAGAATAAGAGAAGTGCAATTGAGCATCTTCCATATGTAAAGAATACGAACAGATACCAACAATTACTAAATGAATATAATAATATAGAATTATGTATACAGAACTAGAATATTCATACATATCTTATTAATATAGTTATCCAGGGAGACATCAGAACACAGATTATTTTCTGAACACAGTAGTTAAACCTTTGCATTTGTACTCTCATTACAGAGTTAAGAAAGAGTAGTAATACTTGTAGTAGTAGTACTTCCACATACCTGAGATATCTCTGTATCATTATGAATGGGGGAATTTAACATGAAACCTATAGCCAAGATGCTAAGAAAGGGGGAGGAAATATGGGAAGGGAAAGATGGCTGAAGAAACTGAGGATTCCATGGGTGGAACAGAAAGGGAGAAATAGGTATTGATTAGATGGATGCAGTGTAGCCAACCAGAATGCTGCCTAGTTGACCAAGAAAACTGAGAAACCAGGTTTCTCTTGA